ATTCTTCATGTCTCTTCTACATCAACATGTGTCCCCTCTTCTCCATGTCTCTTCTACATCAACATGTGTCCCCTCTTCTTCATGTCTCTTCTACATCAACATGTGTCCCCTCTTCTTCATGTCTCTTCTACATCAACATGTGTCCCCTCTTCTCCATGTCTCTTCTACATCAACATGTGTCCCCTCTTCTCCATGTCTCTTCTACATCAACATGTGTCCCCTCTTCTTCATGTCTCTTCTACATCAACATGTGTCCCCTCTTCTCCATTTCTCTTCTACATCAACATGTGTCCCCTCTTCTTCCTGTCTCTTCTACATCAACATGTGTCCCCTCTTCTCCATGTCTCTTCTACATCAACATGTGTCCCCTTTTCTTCATGTCTCTTCTACATCAACATGTGTCCCCTCTTCTCCATTTCTCTTCTACATCAACATGTGTCCCCTCTGTGGAAAGAGACTCTGAAGTTTCAGGAACAAAGATTCTCTCTGTTTTTGATCCATTTCTATAAAAACATGTCTCAAAATGAGCAGACCAGATTTTGGCCACTTTATGATGTCATAACGATGTTTTGGCTTGTGTAACCATTAGCCAATCAGCAACCAAGGTCACAGAAACGTCTCTCTACAGGTGCCACTGTTTAACAAATGCCATGAAGAAAACGTGGTTAAAGTCTGTGGATCGGGAACCTGCAATCAAAAGGGAGTTTTAAAGCTCATAATTAGATCAGTAAATACCGCTAATATGAACCTTTCGTCTGCATATGCCTTTGGTAATGATGAAAACAAATCTTCTAAAGACCTCCGTAGTGGCAGAAAGTGCTCAGACCAGGAGAGAATTCTGCCCCTTTTCCACCAAACCGGTTCCAGAGCCAGTTCCGGGCTACAGCCTGATTTAGCTCTGGCTCTTCCTGTTTCCACCGCAGCGGAGCCGGCTCTAAGCACCGCAAATCGGTTCTTTAGCTGGCCCCACTCGGCTGCCCGGCAAGAACCAAGAACCAAGAACCAATACTTCACGCTTACGTTGGAGGGCGGGATTAACCTGATCAACAACAACAAAATAATGCCGCAAATTCTGTTCAGCAACACAACCAGGAACCAGGATGAAGAGACAAATGACCTCCTCGGGCTTTGGTCAACGCAAGAGCTACAGAGAAAGTTGGACGGCACAACGCGGTCTAAAGCTATTTTTCAGCAGCTGCAGAGGGAGTTGGCCTTGCTGGATACCACCGGACTCTGGAGCAAATAAGCTTCAAGCTAAAACAATTCAAGAAAGACTCCCAGGATCATTGTTGTTGTTGTTGTCGATATGAGGGATTTTCGCGCTGTATGGATGTCATAAGAAGGCACGTAAACGTGATGACGCAAAGGATGACGCAATGACGCAGCTTCCCTCGAGCTCCACTCAAGCTCCACTCGGGCCTGGGTGGTGGAAACACAAGTGGTGCTACAGAGAAGAACTGGTTCACGACCAAAAATTAAAAGGACGTTTCTTATACCGGATCCGGTTTGGTGGAAAAGGGGCTCTAGAGTCCTTAGTAGCTCTCCATCTGGACACAAGCTGCAGTCGGATGATCACCTGGAGGACAGTGTTTCATTTAAAACTCCCTGATGGTGTGTTCAGATGCACCAGTAGAGGCATGTCCAGGGCATGGATTGTGTGTCACTAAAATAAAGAGTGGCTCACTTGTGCTGTTGGTACCAGAACCACACAGTCACATGACAGATGTATATCTCGGGACACTCAGTAAAGAGAGGAGCCTCCATCTGATCCTCCCTGGTGCTTAGTTGGTTCAGGAGGTCTGCTGGACACACCTGACCAATCAAAAATAATTGTGAGGGTGAAACATCTGGCTGAATCTTCTATTCACAAGCTTCAACCACCACCATGAATTTGGAAGAATGGGCAACAGTCAAGGCCTCCATTAGGGGAGTGGTTAATCAGATTGGGAAGAGAGAACTTGGTGCCTGTTACCACTAGAACCAGGCCTTGAAGCCTAAAAAGGTTATCTTTCAGACATGGCTGTCCCCACGGACTCCTGAAGCTGCTCCACAGACTCTGGTCTCACAAAGCAAGGTGTCTAGGTGAATGGAGACTCGTCATTGATAACCGTATATGTATGTTTTGATCATGTTTAATTTCCTGCTCCTGACAGATTCAGTTTGTAAGCCTGTTCAAAAGTTCATGAGTGGGATCCATGATATTTGAAGGCTCTCACATGGTCAGATATTGCTGTGATTTGTGGTTTTAATACAACATTTCAGTCTTAAACCTTCATGTATGTATGTGTGTGTGTTATTGAGCCCGGCAGGCTGCAGAGGTCAGGAGGTTAAACGATGCTCACCGTCTCTGAATGTGTCCCATAGTGCAGAGGGAATTCAGCAGTGTGTAAACAGGATGTGCCGCAGGTCATTCTGCAACAGGTCATTAGCGTGTTGTTCCTATAATTCCCCCGGTGGTAATTAACAAGTTTCCCACAACAATGAACGCTACACTTCCAAGCTCCACCTGGTGCAATAACAGGTGAAACATTAGTGCAAACAAACTCATCAGCTGGACGAAACCCCAGAGACCGACGCTGAGAGCAACTCTGAACTAAAAGGCTTCCTGAGATTCAGGCCCAGAGGCTCAGATGTAGATCTTTGGGGGTCAAGGGTCACTGTCACCTCATTCTGATCACTACATTATATTAAGTTTGTGCTTTATTTCTCTGTTGATATTTGTGGCAGATTTGAAGAAGCAGCCTCCATGCACCCTGCAGATTAGTGTTTGCAGGAATGGGACGGACGGATATCCTTTTGTCAGGCCAGGCGCATCGGTGATGTTGTGCTAAATGTTAAAGCGTCCCTATTATACTATATGTGGTGTCCCCTTTCCTGTAGTGTGTTCTATAGGTTTTGGTGCATGTCAATGGGCTACAAAGGCTAAAATCCCTGTTTCCCCCCTTCCTGCCTGAAACGCCTCCATTGGACTCCTTTAGGTACTTTTGTTTATTTTGTTTCTTTTTATTATGCCTCCTGTAGTAAAGGTGCTTTACAAATCAAATGTATTATTATTATTATTATTACTTCCTGAACAGAGTGACATCACTATGGAAAACTCATGCTCCTAATGGCAAGCGCTCCAACACATTGTCCGTGATAGGCAAAGGGGCGGAACATCTTAAAGCGGTTGATCAATTACAACAACAATCTGGTGGGCAAAATTCAAGGTCACTGTGACCTCATGTTTGTACCATCCTCGTGAACGTGAGATATCTGAAGTTTGCCTTGAGAGATTTCTCTGAATATAGGACAGTTGTCCACATGGAAGGACTGAGGAGGTTTTTGGGGTTAGGGTTGATTAACGTGTTTCTTAAGAACGCCCATCAAGATTTTATTTTGATTCTGGATTGCAGGGATTTGGTGTTCAAAGGTAGATCAAATGTTGCTAACATGACAAAGTGAGGCTGCCTCCTGTAAATTATAGCTGTTACTTCAGAGCCAACCTCAATAAGTCACATTTTTTTACACTAACACTTTTTTAAACCAGTCCATCTGTATATTCTATGTACATGTGAGGACTGGTAATTAAAAGGCCAATTACACAACACTTAACCACACATGACCCCTGATGGCCAGCTCTGCCCCCTGCATGAGTGTCGTACTGACTATTGGCCATACATCGAATTATGATAAACATTTTTTAATCCAATCACATTTATGTTTTAATCACTTCTGCAGCTGTGTGTGAAATAATGTTAATGACAAAAGTGCATTGTCTACTTCTGAAAGTTTGGATACTGGGCCCAACTGTCAGTTCTTTAAACACAGTCTGAAGGTATGGAATAGGAAGATTGAATGAAAACAAAAATCAATTAGGAGATCTTAAAGAAATGCTTTTTTAATCTGGTAATACTCTCATTCAATTAACAAACAAACATCATCAACGGCCACGCTAGATTTCTTTTCAGATATTTTCATGATTCTAAGGCAATTAAATGAATTAGTAGTTTAGACACAAATCACTAACTAGTCTCAGAGGTCTTTTCAAGCTTAAATCCTTGAAGCATTTATTCAGATGAAAAACTCCACCAACTCTATCAGGGAAAAAGGTGAAACCTCTTCCAGCAGACATGCACTGCAGAAGGACCAGACTAGTCAGTGTATGGAAGAACTAACGATATCAGATAAAGATATTCAAATATTAAATCTTAAGCATTTCAGGTGCAGGGTAAACACTTACTTTTCACCAAGCACAGCCTTTTACATACAATGATGCGGATTTTGGTCATATTCAGTCCATACAGTACAGGGTTGAAGATTGGCTGGAATGAAAGATAGTATAATGATAAAAAAATGCGCAACATTTTTGGTACAAATTCCATATCAAATCTGTTCTGTATTACTTCAAAGCAACACCCACATGAAACATTAAGCAGGGAAGCGAGGTGAGGTGCGCAGGTACTGAAAGCTTTCTGTCTCGTCTGTTTGGAGCCAGAGAAACACACTCTGAGGATCTTCATGTACGTATAAAAGATTAGAAATACGGGAGATATAATTAAAAGGAAAGTGACAATGAGTCCATACACATTATTGACTGTAGTGTCAGAGCAGGCCAGTTTAACAATAGAGTAGTTGTCACAGTACACTTTGTTGATGATGTTCCCACACAGCTGTAAAGATGCAGTCAAACAAATCAAAATCAAAATGGCAATAAATGGTATTGACCATGATAGAGCTATCAGTACGATGACCTTTTTAGAAGTCATAAGTGTGTTATATTGCAGAGGATGACAGATAGCAAGATATCTGTCATAAGACATAACGGCTAAATTACTAAATTGTATATTTGCATATGTATACACAGAGAAAATTTGCAGGAAGCAGAGCGGAGCAGAAACAGTGTGAATGTCAGAGAGGATCTGAACCAGAAGGAATGGAAACAACCCTGTACTACCATACAGTTCATTTACAAACAGGCTGCACAGAAAAAGGTACATAGGTTCATGTAAGCTCCTGTTCACACAGATAACCACAATCAGCAACACGTTGGCACCTATGATACAAATATACAAAGCCAGAACGATCAGGAAATATAAGGGTTTGAAAACCCCGGTGTCAAAGTATGCACCAAGAGAGAAATATTGTGTAGAGTTTGTCACCGTCATTCTTTTGGTTCACCACACACTTTCAATCATCACAGGAACAAACAGTTGCAACAACTACTCAACTTTTCACTTCAGATTGTTATTAAACC